CTCTGGAGGTCTTTGTGGACTCTGGAGGTCTTTGGGTCTCTGAGCAGGAGGTTGAGAATCGTCTGTCTCCTGGAAGCACTTCATGGTGAACTTGGACTCCAGATGAACCAGCCTGAAGAGATGCAGCATCACATTTGACCAAACAAAGGTCTGAAGTGAAACCTCTGGACTGATGATGTTCTGTGTTCTCTGCACAGGAACATCTGTCCAGACGACTTCTATATTTGGAATCTTCTTGCAGCAGTTTAGAGATCCACAGAGTTCTTCTGCAGACCAACATGGATCAGGTTGTTCTGGTTCATACAAACATCTCGTTAAAGTTTTTCTGCAGCGCTGAGACCAGATCAGCTGATCAAAGTTCTGGGGCTGGAAAAGGTGAGAACATGCGATGAAGAAGCAGCAGCAGGTTCAGGTGGATGCTGGATCTTCTCTGAATCAGGAACATGTTCCTGCTGCTTCCTGAAATATCCACAGCTCACAACATCTGCGAATCATCAGGAAACATCAGTCCATCCTGCTGAGGAGCTTCTCCTCCTCCTCCACTCTCAGAAGTCGTAGTCCCAGCCAGAGTTGTCGTCCGGCGGCGGCTCGTCGGCGTCTTCGGGGAAACTGTCGAAGTTACTGGTGTCGGTGGCAGACGAGACCTGGACACACGAAGACAAAGTGTTGAGATGCTGCTGCAGGTTTGAGCTGATGCAGGAACAGAGATGGAACCTTAGTTCTCTGGTTGGATGGAACCAGGAGACGTCTGGATCCATGACATGTGCTCTGATGTGTGAAGGATGTTCAGTAAGAAACGTCTCGTATGAGATGGAGCACAGCTGACACCAGAACACCGACTGAACACAGAACAGGAACACCATCGACACGCAGAAGAACATCTCATCAAAATGTTCTCATGTTCCGCTCAACCACCTGCCAGCAGGTTGGTTTGGTCTGAATCACCAGAACCACATTTATCATCAAAACAGAAACAATCAGGTCCTTGAACGCGTCGTGTGTTTCTGGTTCTGGTTCCGTTCGTGTTGCAGTGAATCAAGAACCACAGTGAGTTAAACTGGGCCAGAACCGGTTCCTCGGGTTTGATGCTCGGTGTGTTTAGGTTGTGGTGCGTTAGGTTCGTGCTTACGTCAGGCGTGGTGGGCGGAGTCAGGGTTCCTTTCCTCAGTCCCTCCCAGTTGAAACCTTCGAACCACCTGAACACAAACAGACCCGGGTCACCTCAGACGGACCTGCATCACTCAGACATTCTCCATGTTCTGGACAGCAGCTCACTCACTTGTGCTTCTGGATGTCTTTGACTCCGTTCTTCAGGTTCCCGAGTCGTTCTGACGGATTATCTCTGAAACACACAGAAACCTTCAGCACGTGTTCTGCAGCTGAGAACAGGCCCCGCCCACTGCGCCTCCTACCTGCACAGCTTCTTGATGAGGTTGGCGGCGTTCTTGGTGATCTTCTTCGGGAACTCGATCATGTCGATGCCTCTCAGGATGACGTTGTAGGTTTTCATCGGGTCCGGACCTGAGAACGGAGGACTGGAAAGACAGACGGAGGCTGTAAGAACCGAACTCTGCTGGACTCGGGCGTCTCACCTGTCGGTTCCTCACCTGCCCGTCAGCAGCTCGTACATCAGGATGCCCAGAGACCAGTAGTCCGCCGAGACATCGTGGCCTTTGTTCAGGATGATCTCAGGAGCAACGTACTCCGGAGTCCCGCAGAACGTCCACGTCTTCTTGCAGAACCCGATCTTCTTCGCAAAGCCAAAGTCCACCTGCAAACACCAAGCTGATGAACCTCAGCAGGTTTTTAGGGTTTATCTCTGAGCAGGTGAATCGCTTCGAAAACTGTTGGACCATAAGACTGCAAACAAGGGAAAACTGCTAACTTAGCTTAGCATAACGACAAGAAACAAGGACAAACTGTTGGCCTAGCTTAGCATAAAGACAGGATATGAGGAGAGATGCTAGCTTAGCTTAGCATAAAGACCGGAAGTAGGGAGAAACTGCCAGTTTATCTTAGCTCAGCAAAAGGACTGGCAACAATAGAAAACCACTAGCTTAGCATAGTATAACAACAGAAAACAAGGGAAAACTGCTAATGTAGCTTAGCATAACAACAAGAAACAAAAGAAAACTATTGGCTTAGCTTAGCATAAAGACTGTAAAGACATGGAAAGGGCTAGGTTTAAATTGCTCGCTTAGCTTAGCATAACAACAGAAAACATGGAAAACTGCTAGCTTAGCTTAGCATAACGACAGAAGACAAAGGAAAACTGCTAACGTAGCTTAGCTTATTGACAAGAAACAAGGGAAAACTGTTGGCTTAGCTTAGTATAAAAACTGTAAACACATGGAAAGGGTTAGGGTTAAACTGCTAACTTAGCCTAGCATAAAGACAGGATATGAGGAGAGATGCTGGCTTAGCTTTGCATAAAAAACAGAATTAGGGAGAAACTGTCAGTTTATTTTAGCTCAGCAAAAAGACTGACAATAGAAAACCACTAGCTTAGCTTAGCATAAAGACTGACAATCAGGGGATACCACCATCTTAGCTTAGCATAAAATGAAACCTAGAAACAAAATGAAACCACTGTCTTAGTGTAGCTTAGCCATAAAGATTGAAATCAAGAGGGAGACTAGTGTCTTCGTTTAGCTTCGCATAAAGGCTGTAAACAAGGGAAACAAACTACCGTAGCTTAGCATAAAGACTTAGAACAAGGGGAAACCACTGTCTTAGCTTAGCATAGCATAAAGATTTGAAACATGGGAAAACAATGACATTTAGAGGACCATACTTAGCCTAGCATGCTAACATTAGTGGGCATTACTTTCTAAACATGCGAGATGTGCTACAGTGAGAACTAGCTGCAGATGAAGTACCAGCTTGGCGTATCCTCGGCCGTCCAGGATGAGGTTCTCAGGTTTCAGGTCTCTGTAAATGATGCCTTTAGCGTGCAGGTAGGCGAAGGCTTCGACCACGCAGCCGGTGTAGAACCTGGTGGTCGAGTCTTCAAACGAACCCCTGAAACACACAGTTTGAAAAGCTGTGGAACATTTTCATCCTCATTATGTTTCACTTCCATCCAGATCCAAGCTCCTGAAACCAGACAGTGCTTTCCTTTTTGTTTCTAACATACTAAAGTTTCTCCTTTTTAGCTTCTCTGGCACATTTAACCCTAAATCCAGCAACCTAGAGCTGAGGTTTAGCTCATTAGGCTGTCCAGTATGTACCTGTCTCTGAGTAAAGTCCACAGCTCTCCGCCCAGACAGGCCTCCATCAGCATGTACAGGTATTTACTGTCTTTGAAGGTCCGGTACAACCTGAACATAAAGAATCCAACAAATTCAGAACACAAGCTGCAGCATCCAGTTCTCCGCCTGAGAAACGTATTTCATTCTGTTTTACGCTGCTGTATTCACACATTACTGTTTTATATGCCGCATATCTGAACGCTGCTTTTAATGAGTGTTAAAAACCAAAATAAACACAAACAGAACAATGTTTTCTGGGCAAAAAAAGAAAAGAAAAGTTAAATATAACTTTGCTTCAAATAATTAATAAAATTTCATGTTTTCATACTGAGCTAAGCTAGCCTTTACCCATGTTTTCAGTGTTCATGCTAAGCTAAGCTGGTGGTTTCCCATTGTTTCTACTCTTTAGGTTAAGCTAACAGTTTTAAGATAAGATGTTCCTTTTTTCCTATCGTTATGCTAAGCTAAACAAGCAGTTACCCCCTGTTTGCAGTCTCTATGCTAAGCTAAGCTAAGTCAGCAGTTTCCCCTTGTTTTTTGTCTTTATGCTAAGCGAAACAACCAGTTTCTATTTGTTTTCAGCTATTAGTGCTAAGCTAGGAACAGTTTTCCCCTGTATCCCGTCTTTATGCTAAGCTAAGCTAGTGGTTTCTCGTTGTTTTCAGTCTTTATGCTAAGCTAAGCTAATAGCTTGACGATAAGATGTTCCTCTTTTCCCATCTTTATACTAAGCTTAACAGTTAAGCTCAGCAGTTACCTCCTGTTTGTAGTCTTTATGCTAAGCTAAACTAGTGGTTTCCTGTTGTTTCCAGTCTTATGCTAAGCTAATAGGGTAAAAACTTAGTTAATCCTGAAGTAAATTCATAAAATTTTCTGATTTCCAGCTTTTATGCTAAGCTAAGTTAGCGGTTTGTGAAAAGTACATGAATTTAATGAGATGACCGAAATGTGGCTTATTTGTGAGGTAATGAGCACATTTGCTAATTAAAAGTAAAAATCTGATGAGTTTGTTGTATTTTATTGAAGCTACCTGACGATGAAGTCGCAGTGCGCCTCGGTCATGATGTGTTTCTCTGACCGGATGTGTTCCTGCTGCCTCGTGTCCACGATGTGACGCTTCTTCAGGATCTTCATGGCGAACGTTTTGGCCTCGTCGCTCTTCAGCTGCACCTGAACAGACAAAGGGTCACATGACAGACGGTTCTCAACAGAACCAACAGCACTGAAACAACCCGGAGACTTTTGAAGAACACGTGCTGATGTTCTACCAGCGCTGAATATTTAAAGTTCTGTGTTTGGATCAAACGTAGAGACGAGGGAACGTCTTTAAAATGCTCTGACAGACGTGTTCCTTCTCTCTGCAGAACCTCTGAATGTTCTGAAGAGTTCTACTGTGGTTCCATGTTCCTTCACATTAACATGTTCCTGTAAAGAGTTCCAGTGTTCAGGCTGTAAACAGTCTCCGAAAATAGAACGTGACACAATCCTCTATCTGTGGACGGTTCTTCACGCTACGTTATCTGAGCCGACCCTGAAACGCTGGAGTGACGAGGTGCTGATGGAAGAACGGCAGCAGCTGGAGGAGACCTGGAACATTTTTACATAATGAGCTGAGCTTGTTTTTGCTATGCTAAGCTAAGCTAAGCTAAGCTAGCAGTTTCAGCTTTCTTCCAGTCTTCATGTTAAGCTAAGCTAAGGGTTTTCCCTTGTTAATGGGTTTTTCTAAGCTAGCGGTTTCCCTATTGTTTCTAGGGTTATGCTAAGTTAAGAAAGCAGGTTCCCGGTTGTTTTTAATCTTTATGCTAAGCTAAGTTAGTGGGTTCCCCACGCTTCCTCTCTGTGAAACTATAGGTTTCCACGTGTTTCCAGTCTGTAAACTAAGCTAAGCTAGCACTTTCCCTTTATTTCCAGAGTTGATGCTAAACAAAGCTAGCAGTTTCAGCTTTCGTCCAGTCTTAATGTTAAGCTAAGCTAGGGCTTTCCTATTGTTTCAAGTCTGTATGCTAAGCTAAGCTAGCAGTTTCCCTTTGTTTCCAGTGTTTACACATTGACTGAGACAGAAAGTTTCCCCTGTTTTTGCTGTGCTAAGCTAGCAGTTTATCTTCTTTTCAGCCTTTATGCTAAGCTAATCTAGCAATTCCCCTTGTTTCCAGTCCTGGAAGTTAAACGGAAATAAAAAATGATTTGAGTCGATCATTTTCTGCTGAATATTTCCAACAGCAGCTCAGTGAAACCGGAAGTTAGCCTGAAAACAGGAGCGGAGCCGGATTTCCTCTGATGAGGATGTTTAACAGAATTTAAGCCTGATGTTTAACAGGATTAACAGGATGTAAACCGATCGGTAGCGTGTTCTTGACATGATGTAAACCGATCGGTGGCGTGTTCTTGACATGACGTAAGCTCGGCGCTGAGGTCAGGCGGCTGTCTGGAGGTCAGAGGTCAGGATTTTCCTCGGAGCAGAGTTACCCTCTGACTGAGTCTCTACAAATATCCCGAGCGGGGATTCCTTCCTGTTTTTGGACAAACCGTCTGCAGGGCTTCCCTCCGACCTTCAGCGCCTCAGGCTCCGCCCCCGTCGCCACAGAAACCCGACTCCCTGAGCTCAGAGCAGCAGCGTCACAGCCCTCCCCCAGTTTCCATCCAGCTCTCATCTTACAGACATGAAGCTGAATGAAAGCAGGCTGGTGAGGAGGAGGAGGAGGAACCTGGTCCTTCATCTCACAGCTGAGACTCACCACAAGGTTCCACTGAGCAGAACAGTTCTGCTGCCACTGGCCTCAGACCCACTGGTTTCCAGTTACAGCACTGATACCGAACTGGAAAGTTACTGCAAATAGCACAATACACACACACACACACACACACACGTACACACACACACACACACACACGTATACACACACACACACACACACAGAGAAACACACACACACACACATTAAACGTCTCTGAACCTGAAACCAGTAAAACTAAAGAGAAGCTAATTGGACCTGAAACTGGTCTTAGTTTCTGACCCACTTTGAACTGGTTCTGGACCAGTCCCTAACAGACCAAATACAAAACTGGTTCTGGCCTGAACCTGGTTTCTAACCGAGGGCAGGTTCTACTCTGACCTGCTGCTGTCCTCCGAGCACTGGGCCCGTGGGTTCTGCCAACCTGTGGCTTGCTGGTGGATGTGATTTACCAGTTCGACCCGTCCGAAGCCTCCGACTCCCAGCGTGTCGATGATGTTGAAGTCGGTGAGCTTCAGGCTGGAGAAGAAGGCGTTCTCTGCCTCGTACCTGCAGACAAAGCACAGAGGTCCTCAGTGAAGTCTGGAAGCATCAGAACATTTCATCAGAACCCTCCAGCAGCAGAGCAGGTGGAGGTTCTTCACACCTGCAGCATTTGACCACGTGGAAGAAGGGGAACTTCTTGGAGGTGTGGATGGAGAAGGAGGTGATGGGGAAGGAGGCGGGAGGAGCAGGGAGGCTGGTGAGCCGCTGCCTCTGGCGTCTGGCCGGGTCGGGAAGCAGCTCCCTCATGTCCAAACGCTACGGAACCAACAGAACCAACAGAACCACGGAGCAGGAGGAACTCTGAGGAGCTCCGATGGGCTTTAGTCCCCTCAGCACCAGGAATAATCTGGAATGTGAAGCGGGTCAACGTCTTCAGAACCCGGAACAACGTCTGTCGGTCACAGACCAAAGCGTGGAGCTGAAACCTCAGGAGAACGTTCTGCAGAGCGTCCGTAAGAGAACCGTCTCAAACGAAGAGCTCCACGTCCAGTTCACATGATGGAGGCGGTGGTGGAGGTCCGAGGTTCTGCTGAGGGGGAACCGACACTGTTCCAGATCCTCCAGATCTCTGAGCATCAAGGTCGACCTCGAGGACGGATCTCTGCCGAGTCTGAACCTTGTCGATGGTTCTACCTCCTGAAGACGAGCTAAGCACCTGGACTGAAGGTCTGGGGGTCCAGCTGAAGCAGGACAGAACCGGAACGCAGCCTCGGGTCTGTCGGAGCAGAGCTGCAGGAGGAAATGCAGCCGCAGGTCGAGCTGCGACTCTTCTGCTGCTGCTGCTGCTGCTGCAGGTATTTTTAGCTGCTGGACACATTGCTGGAGGTCCACCAGTCAGGTTCCAAAGCAGCCGGACGGACGGAGGCGTCACAGACCTTCATGTGATCCTCAGAGGAGCCCTCAGACCCTCAGACCCACCACACAGACCATCTGCACTTTGCTGATGAATTCCTGCTCTGACATTTGATCGATTCAAAGCTGATGTGAGAAAACGTTTGTCTTTGACTTCCTGTTTGTTCAAACTGCACTTCCTGTCCGTCCGTCGGAACCAGAACCACAGACGGCTGCTCTGACGTCGGGTTGTGTTTGTTTTCATGCTTTTGTGTGTCTGAGGCTGATTCTGTCCAACAGGTGCGTTTACCTGTTGGACAGAATCAGCCTGAAACCGGCTGGTAAACGGTCCGATCCACTCCCAGAACAACGTGTGGTTCTGTTGGGTTCTGACTGTAGCAGGTTTGTTTATAAAGCTTCTACCAACCTTCACTGTCTCGGATCAGAACACAAGATGAGCCATAAATAA